CTTAATTTTATCAATTACATAATAAATAATCCTCATTATTTTTTAAAAAAATCATCCTAAATTTATATGTCAATAAAAAAAAATATCTTAAAAAATATATAAATAATTTGCATATAAGTTTCATTAGTGTTTAATGGCATTTTTGTAATTTAAATAGACAGCATTTTTTTTTACTTAACATAAAAAAATATATATCCCTTATCAAATTCTTTGTCAAATAATTTCAGAAATGCTAGACATACATTAAATTTATCTGAAAAACAACAATAACCCTATATAATAAACAACATATTTTTTAGATATAATTTTAATTGATCATATTACAAAAAAGTATAAGAGTCGGTTATTTTTATTTTATTTGTCATGATTCTCTAATAAGTGGTTGCCCAGGCCTTCCCAGTTTCCCTTAATACGGATTTACATGTTTTTTTTACATATTAGACTAATTGGTAAATCAGATATTTCCCGTTCATGTGATGATATTAAAAATTTAACTATCTCCGATGTGGGAAAAAAATTTCAAAATTATAATGGGTAGGACTGGGCTTGGAACCTCAAAATTGATATTAGCTTGCACCTGACTTGGGAATATCCTTTACAAATTATTAAGGGTTGAGCTGGGCTTGATAAACTTTTTTAAAATTATAAGATCTTGTATGCTTCCTAGTATTGTGAGCTTGAACCTGGCATGACATCTATCGTAAAAAATGAATAAAAATCTCATTCCCCATGAATTTTGACGGGCTTTCTATTTATATATATATATTTTTTTAAGAAAATATTTTTTATTGACATATAAATATATAATTTTTTTTTTAAATAATGAGGAATAATTATTATGTTGTGTATTTTATAAAATTAAGAGCAAATCCTTGTTGCCATTTTTATTTTTGATGGAAAAAGCAACAAAATAAATCTGGAAGATTGTCTGGAAAGGAAATAATAAGCTAAAATAGATGTATTCTAAAATGAAAAGTATAAACATTTTTAGTATATATAGATGTATAACTTTATTTTGCATTCGGTAGATTTTATTGGGCTTAACGTCATAAAACCCAGTATAATTTTTTGCTTGAATATGAGTTGAATTAAGAATTGAATGATATTTATTTTTTGATAAGCCCAGCTTTCGGCTGGAGTGTGTAGCCTGAGGTAGGGAAATAAGAGAAAATTAAATGGAAAGAAAATAGGGAAATTAAAAGGGAAAGGAAGGTAAAGATAAAGAAAATTAAAAAGTGAAGATAGGAGAGAGAAATGATGAGAAAGGGGAAGATAATAAAAGAAATCAAAAGGTAAAGAAAGGAAAGAGAATTTTAGTATTTTTTAAATTTTGATTTTTCCCATATTATTTGAGACTGTTGTTAAAATAATGAATGTTAGTGATATCTTTAGTAGGAATACATATGTTGTCGGCATAGCATAATCAGTACATTTTTATGTTACTGAAAACTATTCTTAACATTAAAAAATCCCAATCTAGGTTCAAGCCTACAATATCTGGAAAAAATATCCAAGCATCCAAGATCTAAATAATTTAAAAAAAATTTTCAAGCCCACCTCAATCCCTAATAATTTTGAAACCAAGCCCAGAGATATTAAATTTATAATTAATGAAGGGGAAATCTCTCATTTACCAATTAGTCTACGGGTAAAATATATTACTTTATAAAAATAATAACATAAGACTAACATTAAAAAATCCCAATATAGGTTCAAGTCTACAATATTTGGGAAAATTTCCAAGCATCCAAGATCTTAATAATTTAAAAAAATTTTCTCAAGCCCATTTCAATCCCTAATAATTTTTGAAAACCAATCCAATATTAATTTTGAGAAATATTTTTTAAGCCCAGTCCAACCCATAATAATTTTGAAAAAATTTTCCCAAGCCTAGAGATATTTAATTTATTGAATTAACTCAGTTTCTATATAAAATAATAATATTTGCATTTAGTAAATAATGTAATACTATGACAATTGGTTTTAATATGGCCTCCTACAGTTGTACTAATTTTGAAAAAAATCATGTGAATTGGTAATAAGGGAAACTGAGAATGCCTTAACATACCACTTATTAGAGAATCATGACAAAATAAGATTTGCAAAGAAAATTTAAGTTATGGGATCATCTGTTTGTATAAAATAAATAAATAAAATCAACAATAGTAAATAAGGTATTACTTTTTGGTTTTAATATGAATTCCTACAGTTGCATAAAAAATTTAAGTTATAGGATCATCTGTTTGTATAAAATAAATAAAATCAACAATAGTAATAAATGTATTTCTTTTTGGTTTTAATATGGACTCCTATAGTTGCATAGAAAATTTAAATTATAGGATCATCTGTTTTTATAAAATAAATAAATAAAATCAACAATAGTAAATAATGTATTACTTTTTGGTTTTAATATGGACTCCTACAGTTGCATAGAAAATTTAAGTTATAGGATCATCTGTTTGTATAAAATAAATAAATAAAATAAACAATAGTAAATAATATATTACTTTTTGGTTTTAATATGGCCTCCTACAGTTGCATAGAAAATGGATCATCTGTTTGTATAAAATAAATAAATAAAATCAACAAATAAATAAATACGTACCGATGAATGACGTAACGATGACATGACGTAGCGATGACATGACGTCACGATGACGTAGTGAGGACATCGGAAAATTATAATATAGATTTGTATTTAGAAAGAAATCTAATTTACTAATTTGAACCTTGAAAATATTTTTAGGAAGTTGCATGGTAATTAAATTAAAAATGAATAATATAGTTAATTAGTGATTAACTCGGCTAAGTACAATATTAAATTTGTTAATTTTCAAATAATAAATGATTATATTTATTTAATTAGGGTTGTATAATAATTTAATTTAAATAATAATAGTCAATTAAACTCAACAAACTAAATTAATATTTAGTGAGTGATATTGATATTATATTTTAAAGACAGAATTTTAGTGGAAATATAATTTATATGTATTAATATAATATAATAATTATAGTATTCATTTAATAAAAATTTAGATGTCTTATTAATTTCTAAATAATAAAATTAAATCTATATAATTACTTAATAGAATTATAAAAAAATTATTCAGGGGTTATCAAATAAATTTATTTTTAGTTAAAGGGGATATTAAGAGGCATTAAAAAAATTTTTGTTAGGGGGCTATTCAATTTTTTTGGGGGGCTGTAGCCCCTGAGCGCCCCTCCCTAGCGACGCCACTGCACTAAAACATTTTTTACAATTTTTTCAAAAAAAAATTTTATTTATAAAAATATATTAAATGTTAAAATACAGTGTTGTTAAACGGCTAGATTTTTAAAAACGGCTAACCGAATATCCTAGCCAAAAAATGATATGCAAGTATCATTTCGTAAATAGGTATCCAAACCTTTCTACCATATATGAATAAAATCTCCTAACTTGCATAATGCTTTTGACTAATATTGAGTTAGACGTTTTTAAAAATTAAAATGGAATGTCTGATTATATTGGATTTTATAAAATAAGGGGATCCGATAGAATTGCGAATATGATTAATTTATTTTCAAATATTTTTATTGTGGGATTTAGTTAAACAATGACAGCCAATAAAAATGTTATTATTTCATCACAAGAAGACGATGATAATATTTTGGTAAAGACGAATTTTATCTTACAGATTGTGAAAAACAAATTATTTAAAATTTATTAAAAAGAATATATTATATAAATTTGCAAGATCTAACCCGATAAAAATAACATTTTTTTTATAGTTTACAAATATAAATTGAAAGAATATCTCCAACCACCAATTAAAATATACAGCATAATCCAATAATATATGTATAAATATTTATTCATTACAATAAATATTTACCCATATGGTATAGCCCTTATTTCGATTTGCAAATATCATTAAATAACTAAAATGTTATTAAGTTATTTGTTGAATCTGTAGGATCATTTGTAAGACGAAATGCAATATAGAGATTCGGTTAAGGGTTCAGCTTTGCATTGATTGCTATATATCCTTACATTTTGAATCTAGTTGTTATCTGGCTGCTTAAAATCCGGAATATTTATATTTAATTTTGTAGCTATTTTTATATTGTTTTACTTTAAATGGAGGTGGAGGTCATAAAAGATATAGTAAATTTGACATCTTCGATCATTATCCAAGCTGATCAATCTTTGAAATTTATAGTCTCTTGATATAATGAGAGCCACAGCATTTGTTTAAAAAATCAAAGGAGATTTAATAACTTATAATATATAAAATATATGTACATGATAAGAAAGAAGTCATTAACATTTTTTTTTACTGATCGGCCTCAAAAATCGACATTTTCTCGCGGATCCATATATCATGGACTTATGGCATGCCCGTCTATATAGTAAATTATATTTTTAAATTAATTTTTATGAAAATTATATCATTAAGTAATAACATGGTGATAATAGTAGTAAAATTGCAAATATTTAGAGATGTCGCTCAATTTAGAAATCAAACTTTTATTTAAAAATATAGCATTAAATAAATCGAAAACTATTAAGATAAAAAGTAGAGCAATTTCTAATATCCTTAGAAAAGATCCCCTCAGTTCAGATTTGGGTAAAAAATTTCGACCTCATAACAAAATTTGTGGGATCACATTCACTGAGAATTATGAATATGAGTTTATTCTAATTTCAAGTCCAAATATGACATACATGATATAAATAGATTTTTCAAATATGTGACATTTTAAAATTAAATAGTAATTAAACATGGATATTTGTGACAAACTTATTATAAACAATCATCAAAAAACTATTTAAATATTTCTTGGTTAATTTATATAATTTTTATTATATATGATATTTATTATATAATTAATATTTTTAGATTATTCAAAAAAATACTTTTAGAGTATTTATAAAATAAATATTTTATAATATTATTATAAAAATAAATAATTTAGAGTTTTAAAAAATAAATATTTTATAATATTATTTTAATTTGATTAGTATCAACAATCAAATCACGTGTCACTGATTTAAAGGAAATCGCCATTTATTTTAATTACTACAAATTGATTTAAACTGCACAATGTCTCAAAATGATTCTAATCAAGCTTTTGCCGATGCGTTACAACGAGCAAGAAAGGTATTAAGTAAATGTTTAATTAAATATAAATTTATCTTTAGATCGCCGCTAAAATGGGGGAAGATAAAGGTGTAAAGAGAGCTGCTGATGACGATAACTGTAAGATATTACTATTAATCAATTCATACATATTTAAGTTTGAGCTTTGAGTTAAGAAAAATTTTATTAAAATGATTTAAATATATTTTCATATATTTTTTAAATTAAAATAAATTTATAGCAAATACTCCTGAGAATAAAAGAACTGCAGCAGTTAACGATCGTAAGTTTAAAATAATTATATATTTATTTTTTTACAAAAATGTGATATTTTATAGCATTTGGTGCGCAATTAGCAGCTTTGCAACAACAGAAGTAAATATTAAATTTTAAAACTTAAAATCTATTTAATTTCAGAGCTAATCAAGGTAAGGCACTAGTGTCTGAAGAATATCAAGTTCCTGATAAAATGGTTGGGCTTGGTAATTTAAACTTTTTTAAATATAATAATTAAATTAGTTATTGGCAAGGGAGGAGAAAATATAGTTAAAATTCAACGTGAAACTGGCGTTCTAAGTGTTCAATTTGCTCAAGGTATATATATTTATAAGGGTATATGTGATTATATTAATAAATAGATAGTGCTGGTCTGCCTGATCGAAAATGCACTATAACTGGGCCTCCCAGCAGCATAGAGTAAGATTATTTTGGATTATTTATACACAATATAACTTAGTAAAGCTAAAGAAATGATTGATCAAATGATTGAAAAAGCTAAAGCAACTATGATTCCCCCACCAAATATAACTGTAATGAATGGAGAAGAAGAAACAATTGTAAGTGTTGGGATTCCATCTGACAAAGTTGGATTAGTAATAGGCAAATCTGGTGACAATATTAAAAAGCTACAAGTATACTAACATAACTAAAATTATGACTTAATGCCTAATTACAGGAAGAAGCTGGTGTTAGAATGGTTATGATACAAGATGGTATATATACAAATGCGCCTGAAAAGGAATTAAGAATTATGGGAGATCCAGAAAGAGTTGAAGTATTTAAATAAATGATGATCAAGTCTATAGTATTTTGTAGAAAGCTAAAGAACTTGTAGCTGAATTATTAGCACAACATGTAACAGTTTATATATTATATTAGTTTGATATCAATGTTATCTTATAGGGTTATACTTTTGATGCAAATGATTATGGAACAACAATGAATGGTCCATATCTGACAAAAGAAGTATATAATTTTTTAAAGAATTTTTAAAACATGATTTGTAGCAAATCATTCCTAAATGTGCCATTGGGCTCATTATTGGTAAAAATGGTGAAACTATTAAAAGGATTATGCTTGACTCTGGTGCCCGAATTCGCTTTAAAGAAGGAGGTAAATTGTTATATATAAATCTTTTTTATATTTAAATATATCAAATATGTTCATTATATATAGATATAAATCCACAAGGTGATCGTATATTAATTGTAGCTGGTGGTCAAAATCAAATTGATGCAGCATTTGCAGCCGTGAATAGTTATGTGCAAACTGCCCAGGTAAATTACAATAGTGTAAGTAACTCAATTAATAAATATTATATACAATACATAATGAAATTTTATCATATTATATTTGACTAGTGGGTTAAAGAGTTAATTTAAGCACTTAATATATTACAGTTAAATGTATAGTCAATAATAAAAAAATAAATATACCATTGTCTGGATATTGGTGAAATTATGGTGAGCATCTCCAAACTAGAAGAATATATGTACATAAATATAGTGATAATGATAAGTTAGGTCCTCTTAAATTAAAAGGTAGTTTTGAAGGGGCAATATAAATGTAAATAGGTACTGAATAAGTCAATGAGGTGTTATATTTAAATGTTTATATTTTAGATAGATAAAAGGTACCTTAAGTTTAATTAGAAGTAAAAAAAATTTAGATTGTTAAAGAATTATGACATTTACTTTTATAGTGCTTATTATATTCATGATTTAAAATAATTTCTTTAAATATTGATTCAACCCATCTAAGCTTAAAATATTGGGTATTGGGGGGCTGTGTTTTCTTTAAAATTATATAAAAAGAAAAATTTTCTATTTCTTATAAGCATAGTTTTTGAAAGAGCTACACAGAGACACTATGAATAGTTCTAATACAATTTTATCATCCAATGTTAAGAGGTTTTATGCTTCTAATAAAAATTGACAACCCTCACCTTATTACTTATTGGATTTCTAGGTTTAAGTATATTTTTGTATACTGCTAACTGAAATATTTTTTAGAATAATTAGTTAATATTTAAAATCTAAATTTTTTGAAGATTGTGGTGGTTATGTATGGCCTTTTGATTTTATGGTGGATTGCACTTGCTGCACTTTGTATTTTTTTGTTTTTGATAAAAAGTAGAACTCATAATATTATTGCTAAGAATGATCAAATATTAAATGCCAGCAATTAGTCTTAAAATGTGAAAAATGATTTTGATTATTATTTTTTTACAATAAATTATTTGAATTTAAAAAAAATTATTAATGCAGTTATAATTACTAATTATATGTAGAATTAATCACAGTTACTAATTGCAAAACAGGAGTTGAAATTATGTAGCTAATACTTCTTAACTTTAATATAATTTATTAAGTTTTTATTATTTTTTATCTAATGAATATATCATTTAGAGTGCCTATGGATCTAGAGGAGGCATGGTAGGTGGCATGACAACTGGATCCACTGCATCATCTGCCTATGCTCAACAACAAGAAATGCACGTCATGGTGCCTACCAATAAATGTGGCTTAGTTATTGGAAAAGGTGGAGAAAATATAAAAAATATTAGTAATTTGACAGGAGCCCATGTAGAATTAGATAGGAGAGTAAACACTGACCCATCCTCACCTGAAAAAGCTTTTGTAATTAGAGGCACTCATTCTCAAATTTCCCACGCAGCCCAATTGGTTTGTGAAAAGGCTGATATAGTAAGTCTTTTACTTTATTTAAAATAAACTTATTTTTCTTATAATTTATACTATATATCATAACTACTTTATAGGCTGTCCCAGCAATTCCAGCTCCACAAAATAGTATGAATGGAGCAGCCGCTGCAATGGCAGCATATGGCTACCCAGGGTAAAATATTTGGATTTATATTAATATTCAAAAGTTTTTTATAACCTAAATTACATGACTATAATTTTTACATAACCTTATTATTGGTAAACTAGAATGGCAGCATTACAAGCTGGAACAACAGCTAATCCTTATGCACCTCAAGGGTGGGGTGCTTCTACTAATCCTTACAATCAATGGCAAGGCATGAGCACTGGTAGTGCTGACCCAAGTAATTTATTCATATCTTAGCAAAATTCATCTATACCTTGTAAAGTAGTGTTGTTAAATGGCTTGTTTTAAGCCGATTTTTTAAAATGGATAATTCAATATTTAGCCAGAAAATATTGTCTAAGCCTCTAGATTTTGCTAAATGTTCAAACATTTGTGCCAACTATGAGCAAAATCTTAAGGCTTGTATAATATTTTTCCTAATAAAATATTTTGAAAATAAGCCGTTTAACAACACTACTGTAAAGATATCTTATATTTATAATCCTTTATATTTCATTCATCAATCTTATATATATTTACTAATCACAGGCAAACAATCACAAGGTGGTGCAGCAGGTGGGCAAGATGCTAATCTAGCTGCTGCTTGGGCTGCTTATTATCAACAATACTATGCTCAAGCTGCTGCAGCAGCTGGTGGTGGAGGTGCAGGTGGTGCTCAGGCTACACCTTCACCTGCTTCTTATTACCAGCAAGGTGGCGGACCTGTTGGATCTACCTTACAGGGTTTTAAAAATATAATTTATAAATATTCAAATTGCATTGAAATACCTGGAAAAATGAATTAATTTACTGTAGATATGAATTCTTCTATTTTCCAAATTAAATAACTCATAATAAACCATTTTTGAAGGTCAAGGAAGTCAATCTGCTGGTGGAGCAGGGCAAGGTCAGGGACAAGGTGCTGCCGCTTACTATGCAGCTCAAGGTGGAGCAGGACAAAATCCTTACCAACAAGCTGCCAGTGCTCAAGGTTAATTATTTTATTTGCCTTTTATTATAAGCTATAAGAATTGATTCTAGTCTTTGTATGATGAAAAATTGTCCGTGTTTCATATGAAAACTAATGATGCTAATATGACACCTGAAATTATAAAACTCATTATTTTATCTGAAAGTATTTTTAAATTTAATAATTATGATAATAAAATTTATGGCGATATAATTGGACTCAGGGTAGTATATTATTTAATCTAAATACATGTAAATTTTAATATTATCTTAGGAGCCAGTGGTGCAGGAGGTCAGGACTTTACAGCAGCTTGGCAAACCTATTACCAGCAACTAGGGATGCAGCAACAACTTAATAAAGCCTAAACTACTATATTAATAATTTACACATGCCTTAAGGTAAAATATATTCTATTTAAAATTTATTCTAATAATATTCAATTTTAAGGATAAATAATATTTTAAGAAAAAATATTAAAGATAGAAACATAAATATTAGATGAGGTATAGCTTTCTAAGCTTAAATCAACTCTTTTTTGATTATTGTATATTTGATACTGAATATATGTTTTATTGATTCTGCCCATGTTTTACATCATGATATTAAAAGAGTTTTTGAATATATTCTTCTCAAAAGTATATATAATTTATTATGAATTCCACTAAGGTGCATTCTTATATGAAAATATCAATAGATTTCTATATTTTATAAATGCATAAATTTTATATACATACATAATTAATTGAATTGTTGATTAATATCCTTTATTATCTTTTTAAATACCAAAGATTACTTTCTCAAAGTGGTTTTGTTTTATTTTAATTTGAAAAAACTTTTTACACTACTAATATTCTACTGTGATGAAAGGTTTGAAGTAAGCCTTATAAATGCTATACATAAATGCTTATCAATATATACTTATACTATGATGTATAATATATTACCATTGTCATGTTATTGAACTATATTCTTGTTCATTATATTCAATCTATTTGGTTTTTTGCATTTTAGAAATTTTCTTATATGTGATACATTGATCTCTATTTATATCTTTTAATATATCATATATATGAGTTTAGTGCAGTAAAAGTTAACATAGAAAGAAGATAATTTAATAATTTATTTAGAGATATTGATAGATTAGTTTTATATATTTCATCATATTTTTATTTTTTTAATATATTTGACGGGTTGTAGGTATATCCGATATATATCATAATGCTTATTAACTTATAAATATATTGACAAATAATATATGAGTATACCTTATTAAATCACTTGATAATATATGATAAATAATAATTGAAATGAAATCTTATTCTTCAATGCCCAGGAACTTATTAATGAAACACGTAAGATTTCGATTGTAAATAATGTACATAATATAATACATACATCTATATATTACCTTATGAGTATTATAATTTTTATAACTGTAATTGTAAATACTTATTATTATATAACTATAATAAATTTGTATATTTTATATGCTTAATCAACAGCGTTCATTTCGTTTTTAAAATAATATTTTATAATAAAAAATTAGAATATTATCGTTATATGTTTTAATTATTTTATAACTATATTGCCATTCTTTACATATAGATTTAATAAAATATATATATATTAGTATGTGTTATATAGAATAAACATTTAAATTATTTTTAATTTTTTAAATTTACAATTGTCTTCAAAGCATCTTTCGTATTAAGAAGAGTTTAAAGAAATGTTAATTTTATAGTATCAAATGTTTAACTTTTGAACATTTCAATATCTCTATTTAACGTCATAAAATAATTATATCTTAAGACATCATTATGAAGGTTCTAAGATGTATTTTCTTAAAGGTCAAAATTGCAAAATTTTAAAGGCCCACCTGGTTTGGAGACGATTTTTCCTTGGCCTGTTTTCAATTTTTTTGTTGCCTGGCCGTTATTTTTAATATAGCCCTAACCTGAAATATGTTATTGAGCACCAAAATAAACTATGATATTTGAGTTAAATTAAATACTTTAGTTCTATCAAATATCAGAATTCATCAATAATCCAACCCAACGTTTTTGCCGCCTTGACTTAATAAAACAAATAAAGATACATACGATTAATAGTGTTAACTAAATGGTATTGTAAAAAATATAAAACTCAATATGTGTATATATCATTTAAAACTTATAATATGCATCTAATTGATTAGATATCTGAAATGAATAATAAGTGGTTCAGGATTAACTGAAAATTTGAAGCAATATTTCGATTCTAATCCGCAAAGCTTATCTGGCATTATTTTTTAATTGGATTAATTTTCTTTCAGTCTTTTTAAGGTGATTTCGCTTAATCGCATGTTTGATTTGTTCATTTTTATTAAGGATATCACTATTAGAGCTCTGCATTGGCAGATTTTTGGACCATAAACCCGCCCACTCATTATTTAAAAAAATTTTAACTTGTACACCCAGCCCGCCCATAGTTTTCAAAAAATACTCGCCCATCAGTCTAAAATTCCTTACTGCCCACTCTTAAAATTTTTTTAACCCAATCCCGCTATTATAAAAAATTTTTATGGCCATTGTTTCATTTTTTTAAGCATCTAATAAAAAAAAAATTCAGCATTACATCTACAAAAAGATTTTAGGAAATTACTATATTACGCAAAAAAATATTCAATTTAAATTATTAATAATTTATTTCATCAAATATGAAAATAATATTGATATTATATGTAATTAATAATGCAAAAATAATAAATCGACATTTTCTGGATCAAAACACGTTCTTTTTTGTTCTAAAAACCTAGGTATGCTAAATCATCGTTCAGAAGAAGCACTAGTTGTAGAATTGCCAATATTTTTCTTGCTAATTCTCTTGTATTTCCCTAATACCAAAAAAGGTCATTTTAATTTTTAATATCTAAAAAAGTTCATTAAGTGATTTAAATTTATTAGTTTAAATTTCTTAACCCACCCGCCCATAGTTTAAAATTTTTTGACCCGCCCGCCTGCCCTTTTTTAAAAATTTTTTTCACAACTTACCCACTTAGATACCTTTAATCACTATAATTACTTAATTTTAAATATAACTATTTTATTTTTATCAATTTTGATCGTCGATTAATCCTATCCAGAACCTTGTGAGTGCACAGTCCCCTTGTTATTTCAGATTTTCTTTTTCATGCATTTTACAAGGTTAATTCTTTTACAAATACTGCATAAAATCTGGTAGGATTGTTAAGTTTGGTGTATTTTTTGATTATTTTTGAAAAATTGTGACAAGTCACTAATCAATGTGGTAAGCAATCATCGAGTTTATTTGTCCGTCCAAAATTGGCACCCTCCAACAGATGGAAAAGAATCACTCGAGTAAATAGGTGGGGTACCTTCAGACCTGAAAAATACTATATATTAAATTAATTTATAGCTATCATATTTTAAAAATATATTAGGTAAATAAGTTAATGTTTTCATTGTTATTTTATAAATTTATGAATACTTTTTTGCCAAATGAGTCAAAAATATAATCTTAAAACTGGCACAAATTATTAAATAATGTATAATGATATCAAAAAATAAAATAATGATTAAAATCACTGATACCTCATGTATATCTAAGGTTCAATTATTAATATAGTATACTTTTTTTTATTAAAAGAAATTATTTATAAAAAATGTTTTATTTAATATATCCAAAGTAGATGAAAAAAGGTTACCCGGATAAACAGGTGGGGTCTATGTGACCCCAAGCTTCAAAAGACCATAACTCTTGAATTACTGAAAAAATCAAATTTAATTTTGCACACATAGTTAACCTAAAAATATTAAGCTATCAAGAGATTAAGGAAAAAATATCCAAAGAAATTTAAGTAATAAAGTGACTGGGGTCTGCATAGTCCCACCTGTGCAATGAAGGAACATATATATATTAATTATTATGTTCTTAAAATATCCAAATCACAAATTAATAACTTAAGGCTCATAATTTAACTCAAGTGAACTCTTGAGCCGATTCAACCAAAAGCTGGTTTGAGTTAAAGTCTATTTTTAAAACAAAAAACTTGATTTGAGCCCTTTAACCACATTTTTAATAATAAAAATAAAATATTAAAAAATTACAAGTTTTTTAAATAATTTCTTAATAGGGGCATAATCAAGTAGAGGGCAAGCTAATATAAATTTTATGCCTTTGCATTAAAAAAATAACGACTATGACAATTGTCTTTTCTGTGTTACATTACATCTTCATAGAAATCTTAATTTAACGTTTTTATAATATAAATTTTTACCCAGTTGTGTCAAAAAGTTAAAAAATAACGATTATGACAATAGTCACTTTATTATGGTTACATCCTCATTGAATTTTATTTTAATTTAACATGCATACTAACACATTTACTCCAAAAAATATATTATAAAGATAATAATTTACTATAGCATCTTAAAATATGAAGATTTTTGAATATCGTTGATCAAAAATATTTTTAAATAAAAAATCTTCAAAGATCGATGCTTAAATTTTTTTAAAATAGGAAATCTTCAAATTTTACGATCTTCAAAGATCGTTGCTCAAAATTTTTTATAATAAAAAATCTTAAAATTTTACGATCTTCAGATCTTGCTCAAAAATATTCTTTGAATATATTTTGTACAACTCTACTGCGATCGATCCATGTAACACGTCGCTGCGTTATCACGGCCAAATTGCAATCGTGAACGAGCTTCACTATGAATTTAAGGTTAGGCATCTTTTATTATAAATTATGTCCACTTTTGTTGCGTTCTTTAGTGCTATCGAAACAAAGCTGATTAATATCGTTAATCTTTGATATACGTTGCAACTTGTTTTTCAAATTATACCATAGCATTATCATAAAGCTCCATATACTTATTTATTAATGTACACCTTAACGCATTCTATACATGAGGCCTTATCCAAGAAAAGCATATTTTTAATATACAAACTTAAAAGATATATTATTTCCCACAGAGTCAAAACTGAAACGCTCAGAATTATTTTATTTCTCAGAATTGAAAAATCCATAAAGCTAAGGATTTATACTGAATCTCACAGATATATCTCTTTAAGGAAGATTTGGTAAAGTAAAAATTATGATTTTCTTAAATTTTTTTTATTGAATCCATCTCTCAGAAATTTTTGCTATTAATGTATTTTATTTTCAAATTATAGTTAATCAATGAATTGTTGAGTTATATTGATCTAAATTCGTTTTATAAAACCTTCGTGCTAAAAGTATTTTTTCGTTTTTGTTTTATCAATTTATTTTGTAAATAATTTATATTAATGTATTCAAATTAACTATTCATTTTTGTTATATATATATTTTTAAATTTTATATTTTGTTAGTTGTTAACTTTTATTATTTAAATTGAAATAAATAGACCTCTTTTTTTAAAAATTATTGCTGTTCGTCATTTGTTACACTATGCTCCGGGGTCTAAGTCATGGATGGGTAGGGGCAAGGGATGTCCAATATTTTAACATAATATTTTATGTATCAAATAAAACCTAATAAAAAGATAAATTGATACTCAATAATATATTCCATAAGGTAGATGGAGAAGGGAGGTAGGTAAATTTTTTAAACATCGATTACATTGAAATTCAACACTTTATGTCATCAGGTTAAGTGTTGGAAAGGAGGGAGGGCAAATTTTTTTTACAAAAAATAAATTGATTATATTGAATTTTAACAATATATGTATGTCATAAGGGTAAATAGAAATGGAGGGGGGGGGTAAATTTTTTATTATAATATCTTGTCATGTGTATTAAATGAAAGCTAATAAAAATGATAAATGGATCACATTGATACTAAACACTCAATTCCCCGGGCTGGTCCGGGCCTGCTGGTCTCTGATATATATAATATGTGAACAATGGTTATCAAATAATAGTTAGTAGAGATATTAATTGATTACATTGATGCTAATCGTTTTGTGCCTAGGTGGATGTTGGGGGAGGGGAGTAAAAAGTGCATAGTGAAATATCTCATCATGGGTATCCAATGAAATCTAATAAAAAAATTTAATTGATTACATAAATACTTATTTCTCCAGGGGTTGGTGGGAGGAGGGGTGTGTTAAAATTTTATAACATTATGTCGACAGTGTAAAAAATATTATAGTATCAGGATATCAAATAAAAACTAATTTAAAAATCAATTGATTATATTGATGTTAAACACTATACGTCTTCAAGATGAGTGCGGTGGGATTAAAAAGTTTCCCGGTAGAATTGGAATAAAATCGGTATGTAGACATTACGTGGACACTCAGGAAGTCTTTAGGAAATTGACCATGAGAAGGGGCGAAAAATTCCAAATGGAAGCAAAAATACTATAAGAACCGAAACTTTGAGCAACAAGAATTTGAGAGGAATCAAAAGATTTAGGTAAAAAAAAACGAAAGGATTTCAAGATGGCCATGGGAGAACGGTGTTACGTAAAAGTGATATTTC